CGCACAGAGGGGGGATGGCGAGGGCGGAGGGCGGGAAGGCGGGAGGAGGAGGGCGACGGAAGTTGGCATGGGCGGGCGGCGGGTAGTTCGGAGTGGCGGGGGCGAAGGCGAGGGTTCTTGATGACGAGCTGCATGTGCTCCATCTGCAGCGAGAGGCGGCAGATCGACCGTTCGAGGCGCTCGAGGTCGGCGACGAGGCGTCGCGGAGATCGCGAATGTGCTTGTCGCGCTTTTTGATCTCCCTGTGCTAGAAGTCGATCTTTTGCTGCAGATTCCGAATCTGAAGCTGCAGAGCCTGGTCGCCGGAGGCTGCCATGCTGGACCAACTGCCGGAGTTGGACGTAAGAAGAAAACGCATCGAGCGGTATTCCTCCCTTGGGTTATCGGCTCCTATAATGCTTAATGGGGTCTTTTCATCGCAGCGCAAATCTATCGCAGCGCACTCGCCATCTGTGAGCCTAGCGCAGCGCGAACTCGCCGTCTGAGCCTAGCGCAGCGCGAACTCGCTCTGAGCCTAGCGCAGCGCCTCGGACATACCATTTTGGCTCGCCAACAAGCCCTCGCCCCCACACCGTTAGGGCACTACTTTTTCTTCTTTCTATGATTGTGTACCCCCCCCGACTCTATACCCCCCATCAAGCCAGGCGGATACCGACTTTTCGCTCATATGGCGGACGAGGAGGCCAAGCAGCCCGAGCAGCCCGAGCCCGATGTCGCTATCCCCGCCCTCATCCTCGAGGGAAAGGTGGATGATGACGCGGTGCGGCTCTCACATGCGGCGCCGCCGAGCGCGCGGCGCCGCCATGCCTCAACCCCTCGCCACCACCGCGCAGGGTATGAAGTCCGTCGACATCTGCATGCCCACGCCGGGCGTGTCGTGGTACGACCGCTGCTTCGCGGGCTTCTCGCTCCAAGTGTGCCGGCCCGAGATTCCGTGCCTCCAGAAGGTGAGCGACCCGCAGTTCTTCGGCAAGGACGACAAGATGTCCTTCTTCGCCGCGCTCATCATGGGCGCGCAGCACGCGCTCGGCATGACCGGCGGCATCGTCACCACGCCGAGCCTC